AAGATTAATTTTGTCATGTATATCTTAGTGATCTTACAGTAATTTAATTTTATTTAGAGAACTGGGAAACCTCAGTAAGAAAAGTGACTGACTACGGGCTGAACGACAGGGCTTCGATTTCCGACAGGGGCAGGGATCATTATTTGCTCCGGCCGCTGTTTCCAGACCTACTAGAATCCCACTCCAGTGGGTTCCGGGGACTCCTCGAAAGTAAAATGGCCGTAGCGTTGAGACTGACCACTCGCCTCCATCTAAAACCGACGTGAAGGTTTGTCTCAATTTTACACAACGTCTTCATTGCCTCGTTATTAGGCGTGTGGACATTTTACCATTTCCCTTACCTCAGTTCATTCGACAGTAAACGCTCCTGCTTCGTTTTCGGCAGTTCTGGATTCCGGTCTGCTATTATTGAGTTTTTGTGGTTTTTCTCAGCCGCGTCAGTGAAATTTTGAGTTGCAGTATAACTCTTAATCATTCATCGCTATATATCTTCTGCAGTTAAAGAAACGCCTTTAAATAACCCAAGAATTAATTGACGTTAAATGTCGTCTGGAATTGTAACAGCGCCGTTAAATCACGTAAGAACCGCTGTCGAATTATGCATCGCGTGTTGCACTTGGACTTGAAGTCGTTCCTCCCCCGAGGCCGGTTGTTACGCAAATCAGGGGAGTTCCTAACAGCTGCAGTCATTGGCCCTACTCTGCAGGTTCATTGAACCTCGTCTTCTTATTGGTCCATAATCTTTATGTACTTGAATTCAGCACACAGAAAAGTATTATAGTATTTCGTACTTGAGTCGTTTAGTTTGAAAGAAAGGGAGGGGGGAAATACTTCCGCATCTGTACCTGTCGTGTCGAAGATTGCCAGTGCTTCTTCAGGTGTGGTAGGAGCAACATGACAGGTGCTCTGTGTTGGTGCTGCTGACAGAATTGTGAACTATCGCTGTGGCAGATTTGACAGACAATATTTGTAATGCTTAGTAATGGTGATACGAGTGAATGTTTTTACAGAAGTGACATTATTTGTGACTCACTATCTGACAGATGTTATAGTAAGTCTTACGAGTCAACATTCTTGCAAAGTGACATTCTGTGTAACTCGCTAATTGGGAGACAGCATTGCGGTTAAAATTGGTCCCAGCGACCATTCTTACTGAAGTGATATTCCATATGACTTATTGAAGCTGTATTAGGTATAACTCACAATCCAGCAGATAATATTAGGTATTAGCTCATCGTTATATTTATCCTAAGTTTTTTATGCAGAAATTCGTCAGAACAACGAAGTATTGTGTAATATAATACAATTTTATCTTTGACATTGAATATTAGTTGGAATTTTAACGCAAAATAGAGAATGTTTTCGTGTATATTAAATGATAAATTGAAGATATCTGTAATCAAAAGTAAGTGTGGTCTGAATAAGAAGCCATTGAGCTGAACTTATTCTTTTAAATCGCCAACCAGGACCGGTGATACACAAGGCATAGTTGTGTAATTGTATACTCACATATTGACATTTGTTTTAAAATTTTTGTAAGAAACTGAATGGCTCGCAACCAGGACCGGTGATACACAAGGCATCGTTGTGTAATTGTATACTCACATATTGGCATTTGTTTTAAAAATTTTATAAGAAACTGGTGAAATTCATTGTCTGCTAAATTTGGCGGTTTGAACGTCCTGTAAGTGATAATACTGAGGAGTTTCTTGGGTATGCAATTTGTATTCGAACACACGTCTTTCGGGTTATATAAGTGGCAGGATGATGAACCGACTGGACAAGTATTACGAGGCCCACCCTCAGCAGCTGATGCGTCGAACACACCACAACATGTTAATGCTCCCTCCACCCCCTTTGGTGGACGCTTCGACCCCTGGTACTACCTCATCCCGCACGTCAACTTGGACCACTTACCACAGCGGAAAATCGTCTTCAGGCAACAACGGATTTTCTGTTTTGGAACGTGGCGAACGGATAAAACCAGAACGTTCGAATAAACGCAACAATGTTCAGAAAATGCAATGGAGAAGTTCGAGATGGGTCAACGGTTTCCCGTACGCAACTTCCGGTGACGAGGATTTTGATAATCGGATTAGCTCCATGACAATTGCTGACGTGAGTCCACGATTTGCCGTCAAACGAATTATTCTTCTGTACGAGAATTTTCAGTACCGAGAAGCTGCTAACTTCATAAACCGTCTGAGCCACGGGACATTCAAAGTGATTCTCAATGATTTGCCTATTGATCTGTTTGTTGAGTCCATGCCTCATAGTCTGTCAATCCTTGAAGCCCTGTACGCCAAAGTATTTCTGTCTGATGGACTCAACTTCAGTATGAAACTTCTGCGTCCGGAAGGTGTAATCATGCAAATGGTCAAATTTTTCTCAAGCCAGGAATCAATTGATAAAACTGGCGATAAAAATTGGGAGCTCTGTGGGCCCTTCATTTGCAGCTGCAAGAAATTACTGAAAGTAATCGTCCTCTCTGATCCCAAAATCAAGAAAGTTTTACAGCAAAGACGCAGAACACTTGATAAAGCCATCGAAGGCCTGGGACAACACGGCCTGGTAGGTACCACTGACGAGACGCTGATGAATCTACACGATGCCCTCAAGATGGAATTCCAAAGGGTTGTAGAGACTTACAAGGGTGCTCTACAGAAGCTGGAGGATCTTTCTTTGGCCAGTAATAAAAATGGAGTGACACGGGGCCCGGCGCCTGTCCAGGCGTCTCACCAGCGCCAATTGTCTCTCCGACAACCTGAGATTCAGGAGCGTCTCATCAAGAACAAGACTCTGCTGAATGTGGTGGAACCGACGTTGGGGAACCATTCGCTCGATATTCTTCTTGGAATTCTACAGCGGCGCATTGAGTTCGACAAGGATGTCCTGTTCCAGTTCACGCAGCTGCGCAAAGAGATGAAGGACTTGGTGGAAGCCAACGCAGTTGTGGCCCCAGTCCTCATGAGGTTCTCTCACGGATGTGATCAGGTAGGACAAGCTGTTCAGTTTTGCTTTATTCTAATCAGAAACGTCCCAAGAATGGTGCTAGGCCTGGGGCGAAGCAGTCATGCGGGGACCCTACTTGAGATTCTTAGGAGCACGTGAAATAATTAAATAATAGCCTGTACCTTTTAGCCTTCTGTTACATTTTTTCTTTTTGGGGGTTCGGGGCATCGCTGTGTACAGCGTATTTCATGCGTTTTGATGGTAATGAATGAGTACCTGGGTTGCCGCCTTTCCCGTCCCGCCCCAACTACGACCCAGACTAAACAATTAAACGATGAATCTCCCTGATGACGGAGGCAGTATGACCTCTGAAACGTTGGTTAACATCGACCAGACTACACAGCGCAACAACCCAGAAGACAGAAATCTTCATACTCATCGCCCTGATGATGGAGGCAGTATGACCTCTGAAACGTTG